ACCCTGCATGCACACACATACCAGAGCGGTAGGGACCTCTCTTCCAAAGACGCCCCGCAATAAAGTCACCTTTTAGTGGTCTTCACTTTCACGAGAATCATTGCTTCCAAATTCTCTCAAGTTGTTAGTTTAAGATCACTTTTTAAAAGTTGTAATAAATTACCATATAACCCTTGGCTTTCTAAAGGTTACTGCCACAGAATACAACTTGGCTCAGACTTTCAGTGCTTAAAAACAACTACTAATTGAAATGTAAAATCTAATTAGGGATTCTCTGATTAATCGTTACTTTTTGCCATCTTAGATACCGTTTTGACAAATGAGGCATAGGAGTGTCACGAAGTCTCAATTACGAGCGCTCCATATGGCTAAGGGCTGCGCACGCTCTCAACTGTTGCAAGGATGCGGAGCACTGCAACATGTAAGACAGCATTTATGACTCTAAATATATTCACACAGTCTCACAGGTCACCTTAACGTTAGCTAACCATGATGGCAGCTCCCCAAACAAAATAGGCTTATGACTCACACAAACTTGTACCCAATGCATCAGCTAAAACCTATCAACCCTGTTCATAACCAAGTACCTAAATTAGCAGGCCAAAGCGGTACCCAGGATCATATTCATTGCATGTGTGCCCAGCCCCTGGCACCAGAACAGTCACCTAGTCTGAAGCTTTAGAGTGTAGAGAGATCTCTCCCAAGCTAGCGACAAAGACGCTATTTAGAACAGGTACTAAGTACTATGCACCTGAAAGAAGTCAATGAGCCAGCGTGCCAAAGGGAGGAAAATTCTCCTTGCAGGGAGGGCACAAGCCAAACAGCAGTGCAAAACCACCAAGAAACCACAACATCAACCTCAAGAAGTTCCCCTCAAAGGATCTGGGCAAGCAGCTTCGCTGAGCTACGCTGTGCACTTCTCTTCTTTGAAAAGCTGCAGCAGGAGTTTGCAGTAAGGCCGTGGTGCAGGGCAGAACCAGCAGTCAGAAGGCTTGGTGACCCATTTCAGCACACACGTCCTTCCTCCCAGGACCACGTCGAGCTGCTCCAGCTACTCGAGCATCATCTAGTAACAAAGGCAGCTGGGCTGCTGAGGAGCTTCCTCTGCCTTTTTCTTATTTCTGGACAGCTGCAGGTTGGAAGCAGCACTGTAAGAAGGGTTAAGCTACCTAAAACCAGGATTACAGTCTAGAGAGGGGAGATTCAGCTTTGCCAAGCTACAAATAGCAGCTTGCAAAAAGTGAGATCAAGCTGCATCCCTGTTCAGATGTGTTCTCCTGTGTTCAGTGAGTCTTTCCATATCGCTTATTGCCAGTGGGAAATCGTCCCATTTCTCATGATTTAGAATTTAGCTTTGAAAAGAGGTTTCAGAATCGCTTGCATCATCCCTCCCCATCGGGTCTCCATCTCCACACCTGGCTAGCACTGGGAGCTACAACAAGAGCACCAACTTCCTTGCATCCTGTATTCAGTAATGGAAAAAAGAAATTGGACAATATAAAATGCACCTAGAAAAATTAAAACGCCTATAAACCTCTATCTGATGGAGGCATCTCTCTGGAAAAAAAAAATACTGTAGTCTTCGTTTCACTTAACCACATAGAGTAGAACATGGCCACAGCTGCCAAAGCACTTGGCAAGCTGCTTTTCTCTGCAGTCAGCAGTTCTTCCACTGATTTGCAGTCTGATAGCATCTTACAGACTCGGGAGGGTTTTTTTCCAGGAGTCTCCAGAACAGCTCATAGACGAATACATTTATCATATGGGGAAGAGAGGGTGTTTTGGTGCTTTGGGTGGGGTAGGGAGTATTTTACTTGGTGTAGAGATTATTTTAGATTGCCTTTTTCTCCAGCCTAACCTCCCTTCTAAAAACGCAGCAAAATACATTTCCATGGTTTCTGTCTAGAGACTAACAGTTCCTAAATACAGACAAAAAGCTCTTCTGTCTCACTCCAAATTAAACACTAGTATCTTTTCTTTATCTTCAGATAACTTGCCACACATACATACTGCAAAGCACAGTACTGGAAATCTGAAACAAGCACCATGTAAAAGAGTAGGCTGCAAAATAAAAGTTAGTCATCTGAACTTGTGGGCTACCTGGTTAATTCTGAATAGTCCACATTCAGAAGGCAAGACAAGGATAGAAATCTTCCCTGATTATTTTCCCCCACCGTTACCTACTTTTTGCTGATGGAGCTAAAAATCTGCAGGAAGATTACCAAAAATACTTTATGCAGCTGCGGTACAGTCAAATGAAATCTGACTGCAGAATCGTAAACTTCCCAAACCAACCTGCAAAGGTTTTTCACAATCCAGAGCAAAGACATCACTGTTTCTGCCCTACCCTAGAGTTTTCTAGCACACACATGGCACTCTTAACGTGACAGCAAAATATATATGTATATATACATATACATATATATATATATATATATATATTTAGACCTTCGGATGACAAAAACCCAAATTAAAGATGCAACTGAAAATTACGTGAGTTTACTTACACAGGTTACTTTCCGATAAATTTGAGCAGCATTCTGGCATTCTGAATAAGGGTATTCTGAGGTAGCCATTTCCAACATGCACATCCCAAAAGCATACACGTCCACGGATTCATCATAGTGTTCCTCATACATCTCCGGGGCCATAAACTCTGGAGTACCTACACATGCACACACAAAAAGAACAAATTCTTTGTAAGTTTTAAATGGCTTTACCTACAAAATTGGGCCTATTACAGCAGCATTAGGATGTGTGTGAGATTATTTCAAAACAGGAAAGTAATTAGAATAATTCTATGTAATCAGAATAATGCTCAGGCATCCTCCAGAGAAGAAACCCAAAGTCAACCCACACTTGCACATCTATATCTTGTTAGTAACAAGACAGGGGAAAAAAAACACGTATAAAGGTTCCCAAAATGAACAGTCTGAAATGAAATACAGCACAATGCCTGAAAATACACTGCGAGTCCCAAAACTGTTCCTTGCTGTGGATGGCAAGGGATGTGGATAGGTCTTGTGGGTGAAAAGGACAGAAGAAATGAGAAGCATTTGCCTCGTTTTAGTCAAAGTTAACCTGCACATTTTTTTTCACCAGAGACGAGCAGCAAGGGCCCAGCAGACAGACGCACTGACAGCAACACTGTCACAGACTCAGCTACGAAGTCACGCGCTCCAGCGCTAAACAAGCTTCTGTCACTGGATTAGTGGGACAAATCAGCAAGCCGACTTTCAGAACAAGGTCTCATTCCACAGGCTCGGGGTGCCAGAAACGCGATACAACCGGATGAACGCGGAGTGAAGCACCGTGTTTACAGCTTACAGCAAGCAGCAGCTTTATGGCAAGGGGCTACTTACAACACCTGCAAATGCTCCCTTTCACACAGGGCAGCAAGAAAAAGCAGAAGTTTCATGGCATGAAGAGCTGCAGAAGAGAGTGCCTATATGGTGCACAGACTGGAAAGTTCAGTCATAGGAGCTGCTCAGCCTTTGCCAGAGAAATCCAAATTCTGCATCCAAATTTCCCTTTCCAGACCCTTTTGTCAGCTTAGCAAGGCCATTAATAACCTACTTGTTGTGCCATCCTTAGTAGCAGCAAAGGCA